ACGTTATTTATGGAAAACCCATTAATCTATCCACATAGAAAAAGACCCCATGAATTGCAATGAGCAATACTAATATATCATGTGAATAGAGAACTATTTGCTTGGTTTTATCATACATTAACAACTAATTAGGACAGTTGAAACTGTTTTTTCTGATAATGATGTATAGCTATAGTTACATACAAAGTTGTTAGTGAACATGATATTTTTAATGGTTTGTTTAATCATACACCAATAATTGTCTTTATTAATAATGTTTAAGTCGATATAGTCATGATACTGCTCGTGATACTGTCTTCTAATGTTTATTTTAAATGTATTGTTGATTACTTTACACTACAATTAGGAAAACAGGTGATTTTTTTCACTTTGAAGTAGAAATGAATGCAAGGAATGAGGTTTGAAATCCCAACTTCGAAATGGGATGCCAACATTGACGAGGTGAGACAATAATTTCCATGTGAACAGGTGCCACGGAATGTATAATAACAAAAACTAACATAATGAGTGGAAAGGAAGATAGCTATTCAATTACCAACTAAAAACTATACATAACAGCAGATAGCCTCTATTTAATGCGTTCCCTTCTAAGGCAGCTTAGAAATATATTGCCGTAAAAAATGAATAAAATGAACATTAAGATATAATTTTAACGCCACATTAGTTTCCGAGGTGTGAACTTCAGATAAAGGTCATCATATCAGCATCAATATTTTCGATTATACTTTCAAAGTGATATTTTTTAGGTAAACAGTAGTCCACTGGTTTTACATGGTAGGGTACACTCACAAAAACCAGCATAATTTTCTAATTATCAATTGCAAATCGTCCATTATAAGTGATAGCTTTCCCATGAATATTTGGTATTTGTGACAGTTAGACCCGAAAATTGAATAAAATGAACATTAGGAATTTTTAAGGTGTCATTAGTGGTGACAAATTTATTGGTATGAGTGTAGACAGAATTATCGCGAATGATTTGAAAAACATATTGATGATAATACAACCTCGAATAAGTATACAACGTTGTCGTTATATAGTGAAATTTGAAGGAAACCATGCACAACTGCTTTTTTAAATAGCGACTTGAATAAAATTATATACCTATACAGTGTGACACGCTATACACACCAAAGATGAAGACACCCCAGCGTTTGAGATACCGAAAAGGGTTACCTGAAAATGTTGCTTAAAAATCCATTTTGACTTTGAGACATGCTAGTATCTAAAGGCAAGAAATGGAGACTAAACCGGATTAACTGAGGTATACAAATGCTACTTTGATGATCGAGATCTGATTTTTTTAACTAGGCGTAGCCGAGTTAGAAAAATAGTCGAGATGACCAAAGTATTCCGCGCTCGAGTTGCAAACAACATTTTTTTTACAAAGGTCAAAACATATAGTTCTAAAGTAAAAATATGCTTAGTTTGATAAAAAAAATCGTGTTGAACTGGCTTAAAAAGCCTCCCCCTATCCTCCCTAGGTACCCACGACGTTCCACGAACATAATAGGAATTTCCATTCGTGCGCTACAAGAGATAAAACAAAGTTATTGTTGAACATTCAGAAAATAAATGATTTCGTGGATGTTTGCTCGATTGAGGACCATAAAGTTGAAATATAAATATCTCATATATTTATATAAGTAGGTACTTCGCGCACTGTTTTACTTCGCGCATTGTTTTGTGCAAGGTATCATGGTAACGTAGGAAACTGAAAAAACTGTCACTTCGCAATTTGTTTTCAATGCGCGAACCTTGTCATTTTTTGACGTTTGTAGAAAAAATATATTATGAAATGATAATTTCCAATTCTAGTTATTTCATTGATTCTGACTATTCTGACTTATTCGGGATTATTGATTGAAAATCGGACTTGAATAAGAAAAGTACAGAAGAAACAAAATTCGAATTTTGCGTTGAAATTCGGTTGGTAGGGTCAAAATTGATATCTATGCAACGTTTTCAAATGATTTTTTTGTATCTCCAACGCGAACCAAAATATCAAGAATTTGCCCTTTTCGCGAGATCGCAGTATACAGGGTGTCCCGAAATTAGCCTGCCAAATTTCACCTACGGCTTCTACGACCAAAAATAGGAAGAAAAGTTTCAATGAACATGAGTATAGGTTAATCGAGGAGGTGGGTCCAATAAAATATGAATATCATTCCAATATACGTGTAGGATAAATCAGATGACTTGCCCCAACATATCACTGCATTTGAAGAATTTATCTATCAGAGAGCCTAAAAGAAAAATTCACTAGCTTGTCAGTGACAATTTGTATTGAAAAAGATTGGGAGAAGAGGAATAAAGGTATATAAAAAAATTATAAAATTTTCAATTAGCTTTGAACGTTTCGGGAACGAATCTGCTCCCGTTTTCGACATAAAAAATGGATATTTGTATAGCAAATTCGTATTCGTCGTTACACTTCTCAGTGATGGAGATAGAACATACCGAAAAATTTAGAAATTACAGGAGGTATATACCTGAGCTGATCTTGAGATTATACTAGTTCTATGGCATTTTGAAAAGAGGTATATATAGTTATTCCAAACAATTGTTGATAAAACATGAACCTGAAAGTGCCTATAGTGTAATCACGTTCAATTTAATCTTGAGAAACTTTTTCAACTGACAATTCACACTAGAATTAACATACTATACTTAGTTTAACCATTTTATAAAGAGGTGCTAACCAAAATAGAATAGGTAAATGTAATTAAAAAGTGTTGTTAATTGTTTTTCATTAGCATACTGATGTTCCCTGACATAGCTGACATATTTAGAAAACGTGTACCTATATACTCCAATTAAAAAATTGCTATGCGTATATATGTATATCAGCTAAAAGTACATTAGGAAATCGTGTTGATGAAAGTGGTAACGTTAAATTATTGTTTTATTCTCAATTCACGAATTCAAGTGGAGTTTCACAACCTAACCTCAAAAAAATAATCAAATCAAAACATATAATCTCCAAAAGTTCAAAAAAAATTCCAATACCTACCTCTTGTCCCTATTCTCCCTAGGAACGCACGATGTTCTTTGAACATTATAGGGATTCCCTTTCGTGCACTCCAAGCGATAAAAAAAATAGTTGGTATAACGTAAGTCAACTGAAAATACATGGTGGAAACATGCGCTAACTAAGGCATTTGGTCTGAATTTAGTTAGATCTCCTTGGTAAGCATATACCAACTATCCATACGGTATAAACGTCCTATCAGTCTCCTGTGCTCTCCATCTAAGATAACTGAACGAGCTGATACCAGATGAGCAGGTCGGTTTCAGAACTGGCCGCTCAACTGAACTACAAGTCTTGAGACTCATTGAGAATACAATATCGTTGAGAAATGATAGACAAAAGACCCATCTTGCTCTCCTTGACATAGCGAAAGCATTTGACAAGGTGTGGCATGATGGTATCTTGTACAAAATCATCGATATGGGCTTTCCTGACGATTTGTTTCAGTTGATGTGCTCATTTCTGAAAAATCCAACTTTTCAAGTAAAACTTGATGATCAACGATCTGGTATCAAGCCCATGGAAGCTGGTGTTCCTCAGGGTCCAGTTTTATCACCGCTGTTGTACAGTTTATATACTAGCGATTTGCCGAGACCAGTGATGTGCAAGATGTCGCTTTTTGCTGATGATACGACAGGTCTTGCATATTCGACAAATTTCGAGCAAGCAGCTATGGACCTCCAAAGCGCTGAATTTTCTTCAGGAGTAATTCTTTAGATGGAAGATCGAATTGAATCCTACAAAAACACAATTGGTCGCACTCGGAAGGGAGCGGAGGCCTCCCAGAACCAGAAAAGTCCTGGATGGTCATGAGTTAGAGTGGTCTTCACAAGTTAAATACTTAGGTGTGTGCATTGACAAAGAGCTCACCTGGGCCCAGCACATTGAACAGCAATTTTCAAAAGTTAAACGAGCCATTGGAGCCCTGTATCCATTTCTAAACTGATGAAGTAAATTGGGTTTGAGACAAAAAAGGCCAATTTTACTGTATGCTTCGGTAGTCTGAGGCCACACAGCTAAATCTCATATCACCAGATTACAAACACTACAAAAACCAAATCGCGAGAATGTTGACAGGATCTCCTTGGTATGTTCGGAATAACCAGATCGCCAGGGATCTGAAACTCCCTTCAATCGTATCCGTAATTAGAGAACGAAACATCAAGACTTTCGAAAAAGCTGAGGTTCATGAGAATCAGCTTCTCCGAAATGCAGTTGATTATGACCCAGGTGATCAATCAAAGTTCAAAAGACCGAGATTGTCCATAAACTAGAGAAATTATCAACATTATGACCAAATTTACTATTCTCAAGTTATTCATATTTATTTGTTCCTTTGGATCTTTTTCAATTTTCAGAATGTATTTCTGAAACTTATTTGGGGCAGAAGGGCTGTTCGCATTAAACTTCAATATCGTTGTCATTTCGTTTTCTTGTTTCATGATAGATATTGTCACAATTAAGTAATTATTCCAAAATTATCCAAAGTTTATAAACATTTGGAACACGTTTTGGCATTGACTCACCAACAACTTTAACGACTGAGTAACCTCCAACAGCAACGTACCAAGAATTACCTTAACAATAACAGTACTTGAGATTTCAGAAAAATATAGATTTGTGGATATTCCAAGAGGCAGTTGATGATCGGTATTTGAATAGTTGCTATCGTTGGTGCAAACTGTCGAGTTGTACAGTCGGTTATCACGTTAATCAGTTTAGTTAGGTCTTTGTACGTTCTCCGAAAATGGCTCTATCTATATTGCAAGTACTACCTCGAGTACTACTTAACCGTTATTTAAATTGTATGTCGTATCTATAATGATTCCTCTTCTATACGATGATATAATATAATGAATGTATCTATGTTTTGGATATGGTTTTCACCATTTCTCATACCCCCAAACTATAAGTGTCTTGAGTTAATATAATCTACCCTAAAAATTTTATTTTTTCTGCGTGTACTCACCGTCGACGTGTAGAACGGCGCCTGATCGGCGCCCAGCGCCGGAAAGTACGCCGCCATGCCCTCGGCATAGGGGGCGCTGTACATGCTGAGGGCGGGCAAACCGGGCACACCCGCCCCTGCCAACCGCTGGTACCCTAACAGCTCGTACTGGCACGAGCAGACGGTCTGCCCGCTGAGCGGGTCGGTGAAGATGGGGCGGCCCGTATCGCAGCAGCGCTGGGCAGGCGGGGCAGGCGGGGACCCGCCCTGGGCGGCGGGGGCGGAGGAGGTGACAGCCATGCTGGCGGGCGGCTGCGGGGAGGGTTGACTGCGGCCCGACGATACTGCGCTCTGGAAATTGGGGAAATTGATGGCATTTTATTGAGGGAAAATAATGTTTTGTATACAGGGTTTTTCACGATAAGCGTTAATTAGACATTTCTGAACATTACAGGATACCTACCCCTTTTCGTGAAAAAAAAGCGTTAATTAGACGTTTCTGGCAAACCAAGCAACAGATGAATCTGGAAATTTGTATATAAATTGACATGATCTACACGTCTCCTACTAAAAAATAGCAGCAACTTTGATTTCCGAATGGAACATCCTCTTTCTCATTGCATTGTTAGATTGTCCCTGAAGAGCTGATTTCATCAATGAATCACACTTGGGGTGGGTTTAATGGGGATGATTAAAGAGATAGAGGATATGTTCAAAATCGAGATTTTTACATTTTAGGATTTTTTCGTGTCGAAACTATTCATTATTGGCCTTGATTATAACAGTATCTATAGATTGATAGATGCCAATAACGAATGATTTCGTGAAAAACATAAATGTTTCTCTATAAGCTTTCGAAATTGAGAGGACTCTCTATATGTTTCTGGCTAGAGGTTCAGCAACCTCAATTTTTCTTCATTACCATTCATCAGAAATGAGCTATTCGTCTGGTTGGTGATACCACACTAACAAATTCCTCATTTCCGGAATCATCTGACCCACGGGCGTACTCTCAAGAATCTATACCTAACCCCTAAAGGTTCTTCTTTCTTGCCTCGTGATGTTGCACGAACAAAATAGGAATTCCTCTTAGTGCGTTTCGAGAGATCAACGTGAACTACAATAGGTTTTCTGAAAAATTCAGAAAATGCGTGCTGAAACTATTAAAAGTCTAAGTGCATGCCTTAACACTGTTCAGTTTAACGAAACAACATTATGCTTCAATTTCATCGATAACCTGTGAAAATCAAAGAACGTTTATGTGGCGATAAAAGTGTTTCAATCGAATACGAAACACTGCTTCTAGATCAAAATGAACCCTTGAGATTGCAAAAACCACTGAGAACACGACGAAATGCACGACATTGTTTTCCCACAAGGCAACACACACTAGAAAACAATTCCTTTTCCTTTCCAACTTCTCGCAAAAACCGGCTCCCGTGAGCAATAATAATTCATGACACACGTATAAATTTAGTTATGGAGTTATGGAAAAGCGATTCAAACTGGAGATCAAACGTTCCCAATGACGGGGAATGATTTACGGCTGGATTATACAGTAGGCTATGTCTCGGAACGTTAGTCGCTTATTTCGATTTCACGAGCCTCAGGGAAAAAAATGGTCTCCCAGTAATACGACGTGCCGTGATATAGGAGAAGAGGAATCCGAGTGGCGTAGCCCGATGAAACGGATTTTTGATTCTGGCGTGTTGGGGGATTTAGTGCAGAATGCTAATCCGCCAATGGGGCAGCGAATATAATAATATATTATTTTCAACTAGGAAATAGCGAAATACTCAAAGTATGGAATGCAATGGTCACAAAGAGAGAAACTCAAAGTAATTACCACAATAGGTCATAAAATGAACGAAAATGGTAGATAACGAGAAAGAAACAACTACTTTCCTGGCTATATGCCACCCAGAACGTTGTATAACATCCTCCTGAAATCTAGGAGAAACCTGTTTGAGATAAAACTAGCTAGCAGAGAACATAGCTTGGGAGACTCGATCGAATGGATTGGATATATCAAGTGCCACGGCTGAGGTTTCACCATATTTTTCGATTGATTGCTGCCATATATATGTGAGACGTGAACGAGCAGGTCACCACTTGATCTCTTATGACGGAAGCCATATTGTCTATAATACCTGAATGTTCCAGGTATTTCATGAGCTCGATGTTGATAGCTTCCTCCATGATCTTTAAAATAAAAGATAGCAGTGCGATCGGTCTTTAGTTGCTTGGTAGGGTCTTTTTGCCTTTTTTAGGAACTTGTAAGAGTAGTTGAACAACTTGCAGAGAACAGGTGTTAGTTCGGGAGCACATTTATTGGGAAGAATCGGTGGGATTCCGTCGGAGCCACAAGCTTTGTTGGTGTTGAGACCCAATAAAATCTTCCTTATAGTACGTTGGCGAAAGGTGATCTCGGGGATATGACTGTCAATTGGCGTTATGTTTGGAGGTTATTTTCCCGATGAATCCAAAGTGGAATTACCAGCAAATGAATGCGCAAAAATGTTGGCTTCCTCCTGGGAAGTTGTGGCTAGTGTTCCATCTTCGTTGGTTAGAGGAGGAAACGAGCTGGAAGTGAAGATTCTGCCTACAGCTTTGGCGAAGGACCAAAATGATTGGGATCCGTTAGGACATTCAACAATTTTTGATCCTATTTTGGCATTATGAGCATCCTTTGATGATCGAATTGTCTCATTGCATATGCCTTTATCCTCGACATATTCTGCTCTAGTCTCAGGGCCTGGATTTTTCTGCCATCAATGGAATACTGCCTGTTTGAAAGCGACAGCTGAGGTGGATGAGCCCTTGGTGCCAAACTCGGTTTCCTGGTATATGAAGTAGGAGTTCTGGAGGTAAACGCATTATGATGATAGTGCACCTATATACTTACTATCATTCCCAAAACTATACGTGGATGTATTCGGCATCAGGTGGACTTCTCAATAAAATAAAATAATATAAAGTGGATGATGGTATACTCCGAGCGTTTTGGTATACTCAGAGTATTAGAAAAAGAATAACTGCAACCCTGAAGTTTGCTATTCTTAATAAATTTACATATTATCAGGAAATTTTTTCCGTTTCAGGTCATATACATTCTCATCCATGCACAGGCGAAAATGGAGGACTTATTTTTAATAATGGCGAACGAATATACGATCACACGAATGCACATCCCCGGGGTTGAATAAATAATGCTATTATTACAGCTCAACGAATATCACTCCGGAGTGCAAGTACGCACAGCTGACGCGACGAACGAAACCAGACCTTATGGACGACGATCTTAGGGACGATAGTCGTGTGACCTTCTTTTGTGACGCCGTGGCGTAATTTGAGATAATTTTACGTCTTCTCTCGTACAGTTGGGTGAGAGGGTAGATAATGATAGGTGTGCGGAGTGGGAATTTGGGGTAGTTTTATCGAGAGGGTCTTATACACGCCTTTCATGCAAACTTTCAAAGCGAGGCGAACAAGAATTATTTTTTTCCACCACTAATCTGAGAAATCATGCACTATTTATTATTCTAGGATTTTCTCAAATGAGAAATAACACTTTTTGAACCTAGGTTGATAATGATGAATTAATGAAGTTTACCTAGGTATAGAAAACAAACTGTCAATAGTGTCAATGATATTATATGCATGAATACACAAACATAAAGATACCGATGCATATCCAATCAACGAAAAATTATACTTTCGTGAAACCAAATATAGTTGAAACTACAAATCTGATTACAGCTGAAATAATCTGATTATTATTAATTCTAAAAATGTCACAACACAAATTATACGTGAGCTGTCACTGTCATGTGTGAATTAGACCAATAATTCGAATAACCATGCATGACTCTCGGCAAGGACACAATTTTTGACTAATCGAAACAATGTCAGCTATGGCGTCCGCTATGGCGGTCGATATACGATATATGTATCACCTCAATGATTGTGCAGTGGTATCTGTGGGATATTCATAAGGTTTGATATTTTCAAAACATTTCAAATTTTTTATATTTATTCGCAATATTTATCAGTATCATTCCTAACTTCATGTAGGCGGGGTACAAGCTTCCTATCAACATGAATGTCACTTGAATTTTCACCATATTATAAAAAGAATACCAATAAGTTACATTATTTGTATTCTTTGACTCTGTGCAGTTATTGTAGAAAAAGTATAGTGTGCAACATGTGGGGAAAAGTACTCTTCTCACTCGTGAGTTTGCAGCACTCGCTCATCTGGCTCGTTCAACAAACTTTCACATCCGTGAGAAAAGTTGAATTTTCCCCATTTGTTGCACAATATATTGTCCTTGTAGGAGTTGACGATCTAGATGAAATATTTTCGCTTGTGAACCATGTTTTCCTCTTTCTCATAACTGGCAATAACATCCTTTAGTCGTCATCAACGAGATTATGTGGAATAACTCTCTATCAAAACTCGTTTGTCTCTGTCCAATAGTGTACACTCATCATCCAATATTTGGTCAGATTCGGCAAAGTCTAGTTGAATAAGTCCAGTCTTGATCCATATTGTTCAATCCTGGTCAATTCAAAGTTAAATTTATGAATTTGAAACGGGTATCTAGAACTGTTTTATGTTCATAAGTAATATCTGCACAAACCATCGCAGTGTATTGCCATTTTCAACTTCACCACCATATACTTCATTTTTACCGAGATTTTTACCCTAAAATTTTCACCAAGATCATATTTATTTGGCTAATCGCCATGATATTTTGAATTGAAAATTGCTCTGCGTACAATAATTTATACTCTATATCTCGATATATATATAGGGTGATCTAGAATTCGATGTAAAAATATTTTAAGGACGTATCTCTGGACGTATTGTTGGGATCAAAATAAGCCATTTTTCAAACTGCTAAACTGCACCCCATTTCGGCCAATAAAAGTGAGACCCCCTCCATCCCTCTCTCAAAACTGGGTTTACATCATTTTTGGAGGAAGAATGCGATAAAGAGACTAAAAGGACAGGGGCCTGCAAATTTTCAGAATATTTGATCCATTATTTTAGTCACAATTTCAAAATATGGAGGGGGTGAATTTTATAGGAGACATATATGTTTATATAAAAAAAAGTCCTATTTTGAACCCAACAATATGCCCTTGAATTATTTACATCGAATTTTGAATCACCCTGTATAGATTCTGACTATTTTTATGATTGTTTTAGGATTGTCGATTTTTGTCTATATACATATAATGATCTAAACTCTCATACACGTCACAAAAGTATTACTATAACCCCAATGAAAATTATGATTGAACGCTATAGGGACATTATATTATGTATGTACCTACATGCGTAT